TCTGACCCTGATGACCTCAAATCTATCAGATGGACAGAGACTGTTATTTTCATTGATCTGAATACAGTCTGAGCCATCTGGTGACTTTCTTTCTTGAATTAATCAAGCAGAAAAGACAATTCTCTATAATCATTACTGTTTTACAAATGTTTGATAATCAAATTGTGTTAGTTCCATTCAATGCTTACAGGTTGGAAAGAACTACTCATTTTTATTTTACATAAGCAGTAAGTAATGATTTTTATTCCTCATTCAAAGAAGAAATCAGGTTAATATGCATTTCTTGATTTTCTGTCTGAAATGAGCCAAGCAACGTAAGTATGTGAAAGTTGAAGCTTCGGTCAACTAAATGTTTACTGAAAAAGAAATGTCATGTTTAATCTTTACAGAAGATACAGAAGAGTTGACTCCACGAAGTCTGCTTTTCTGCAATAATCTCTCTGTCAGTTGTTAAACAAACTCATTCTCTGACCTCGACTTTTGATAACACCTTACGTCAAAAACCACACCTCTTTCTGGTCCATCGACCAATCAAAAGCTCTCAAATGAACCGGAAGTCGACCCATTTAAAATGTGGCAACTTCCCAGTTCATGGAGAGAATTCTGTAGAATTCCAGAGAATTCCAGAGGCTGAGGAGATGAAGAACTAGAGAGTTGCTGACAATTAAGAGTCTGAGAAGTTCTGAAGAATGTAAGGAGTTCAGAGTTCTTGGGTGCAAAACGCGTTCAGGATGATCCAGAGACGTTTTGGAATTATGACTTCTGTTTGAACAAACCACGCACGACTCTCGAAGGATTTTAGCTGCTCTCAACGGAGACGCTGAAAAGGTCTGGAGGATTCTCTATCGAGCTGATTTACGTCAACCAGGTAACGGTCTCCTCTTCGACTAAAGTGTACCGGAGGCAAGCTGAGATCTGATGAAGCGTGCAATTTCTGGTCAAACAGATTAATTCCCTCACATATCTCTCTGTAAGATAACTCCATTTCATCTTAAAACTCTCCTCTCTCTCTTCTAAAATCAGTACAGATATCTTAGGAATATCTGAAGCAAAGTCCTCGATCACCGCCGAGTGATTCGAAGCTCATTTTCTGTGAAACTTGTCTGTTATTATTTTCATATTTTGCCAAATTAATGTAAATGTTTGATGTTAAACTTTGATTCTGAAAATAAATGACCGCATTGATTTGATGGGTCAAAGATAAATAACGTCTCTCGTTACATTTCTGTTAAATTCAAGGCACGACATTACACAGTCAGAAAGATGAGGAACTCGTGAAAAAGTATGCATATATATTTACATATATTGTCATACTACAACTAGTGGCACGTACCTACGTGACTACTACATATGCATCACCACTGACCCGTTTATTATGCGTTTATTTAATGGTCAAAACAGCTTAATTTTGTCTGGGTGGCGCCGTGCCATCCATCCATCCATCCATCCATCCATCCATCCATCCATTCATCCATCGCAGCCAGAGCCGCTACCTCTCCAGCGTTCCTCCGCCTGCACCAGCTGAGTAAAGCTAGCGTGCACGAGAGGACTCAGTATTGCATTTCTTAGAAATTTAACAACATTAACACTTAAAAACAACTATTTGTTTGCTCAAGTTTATATCAGAAGTGTGTCTCAGTTTAACTTTTCCTTAATAAATGCAATTTAATGGTCAAAACAGCTTAATTTTGCCTGGGCAGTGCAACACCATCCATCCATCCATCCATCAATTGCAGCTGGCACTGAAAGCTCTCCAGCGTTCCTCTGCCTGCACCAGCTGAGTGAAGCAAGCGCGCACGGGAGGACTCGCTGTTGCAGTTCTTAGAAATATAAAGCGTCCGTCAAAAATTCCATTACGAATATGGGAAAAAAGTATATAAGTCACTTCGGCGTATAAGTCGCAGGACTTACAAATCTATGCAAAAAAACTGTGACATATAAATTGAAAATAGCAAGTTAAAATACAATGGGATTAAAAAAACGAAACAAAAACAGCTAGGTTGTGATGCGATGTAGAAAACTAAAAACAAGAACATGTCTTCATTGGTTTTTGCTAGAAACAGCAAATGTTTAAAGTCACTTAGAGAGGCCAAGGTCGAGAGCTTCAGATCGTTTTGCAAGATATTCCAGGAAACAGGAGTGGAGTAGGAGAAGGCCCTTTTGCCAAGTTCAGTCCTCACTGAGGGAACACTGCAGGTAATGATGTCCTGAGAGCGCACGCTGTAGCTGCACTCACACAGTGACATGTAGAAGGAGATGTATGAAGCCAAAATAAAAGTCAACATAGAATGAGACCTCTTCCTAGCCGGTCATTAAAATATTCTCATGTAAATAATTTTGGTGGCAGGTCTTTTGTACACTAGAAAATACGGTAAACAAAACTCTCAGAAAGCAATCATTAAATGCACATCTCTAACATCTCAATTAAATGCACATCTTTAACATCTCAATTCAAGATGGCCACCAGAGCTAAGCTAGATGAACAAACAGAAACATAACTCTAATTCCAACTGTCCATGCTCAATAATCCAGGTACAAATCCAACAATGTTCAGTCAGGTCATCTGGATGGTTCATTTTTTTCTTGCCGAGACGTTTCGCCCTGGACTGTACCTGGATTATTGAGCATGAACTGTTGGTGTTTTGAACCATTTTGCCATGGCTGCCTGAGAGGATTTGAAGGGGGAGAGGGCGGGCCCCAGAAACCATCTTATCACCAGCAAACTGCTTTTTTTTTTTTTTTTTTTTCCACTATGGGAGTTTTGGTATTTGAGGGACTCTGTTTTGTTTTGTGGCTTCTCGGACTGAAGAAGTCCTTTGGATGAAGGACGAAACATCTCAGCAAAAAAAGAAACTGTCCAGAGGACCTGAGGAAGCTTTGCTGGATAACTATAACTCAGTCAGTTTTACATTTACTGAGTGAAAATCTGCTGTGGTAGTAGCTAAGAGTAGTTCCCAACACATTGTCCTGACACAACACATTGGTTAACTCATTTGTATAAAACTATACTATTAGTAGTCCAATTCGACACTGTCTGTCTGTTAGTAAAATATCAAATTTGGATGGATTTTAATGAAACTCGAAAAAATAATCATTGGTCAGGCATCAACAACTGATTAACTTTTGAAGTCAACCCAATTTAAGACGGCCATTACAGCTACATCTTAACAAACACATTCATAACTATAACTTAGCCATTAGTACATGTATTGAGCTAAAATTTAGTGTGGTAGTAGCCAGGAGTCATCATCAACAAGTACTCTGAGAGATATCTTGTGAAGTATGAACATTTTAATTATGATTATGTCAGTTTAAAACTCTGGCATGATAGACCATGGGTATGAGACAATTCTGTCTGTTCTGTCTTTCTGCACTTTTCCTGTGTTTCTCTGTTCCTTGTGTTTCTGCTCCTGTGCACACCGGACCCAAATCTTATCACTACAGGTGTTTCCCACTACGTCTCATTAGTGTCTTGTATTTATAGTCTGTCTTCTCACTCCCTTGGTATCTAGGCATTAACTATCCTTCCACATTCCCATGATCTGTGTCTGCTCCACCTGTCATGTACTTTGTAAGTTTTTGCTGACCCATCAGCACTTTTGTTTTATAAACATAAACAATTATAATTTTTACTCTAGAGTCTTCCTGTCTTCCTGTACTGGGGATCAACACATAAACTACAGATCATGTCAGGGTAATATCTATTACTTCAAGGACAACTACTCCCTCGATCAACCAAAGTATTAGTTTTCATCCTTTTGTTCATGAATCGTCTGAGGACAGTCATTGTTCGTTGTTGCAGTCATTTTTATCATCATACTGCTAACGGGACCGTGCTGCTAACAAAACTACACCGCAAACAGAACCACACTGCTAACATGCTGCTAACGGGACTGTGTTGCTAAGAGTAACATGCTGCTAATGGGACCATGTTGCTAAGAGTAACATGCTGCTAATGGGACCATATTGCTAACAAGACCATGTTGCTAACAGGACCATGTTGCTAACAGGACCATGTTGCTA